TCGCTGCCGCTGTGCTCGAGGAGCTGCAAGTGCGGGTCTATCGCAACCGCTTCTCACGATGTCCGCGCCGAGGAGCGCGCGACATCCTTGAGACTGCAGGTGCGTGGGCAAGTTGAAATGGGCACGAAGCAAAACGGACCCATCTCAGAAGGTCCGGATCATCGTCATGAGGCTGACCCTCCGATGCTTCAAGGGCGCGGGCGCCGATCTCGTCGGGCCGTGCACAAGCGCTTCATCGCGACGCCAAGTGCGTGATTCTCTTCGAGTCTGCCTGTCAAGGATAAACGACCGATGCGTGGGATGTCAAGAAGGCCATCCTGAAAGGCGCCAGCTACCAGGCACGTCCAGGGGCAACAGGTGAGGAAGAGCGCGATGTTGTCTTTGAGCCTTCCCCTGGCGCCGTCGCAGTCCTGCGCAAAGGTAAGGGTCGCGAAGATTTCGGCCCGGCACTTGAAATCCTCCACATGGTGAAACTGGGCACTGGGTGAAACTTTCTCCGGGTGCAACGGTGTTCCGATATGCTTGTCCACCCAACTCACCTTGATCTCCAATCAGATGCACCAAGCCATCCCAACGCTCTGCGACAACGAGTTCGTCGCCAAACACAGAGACGGCGATTTCGTACTACTGGTTACCGAACTTGTCGACGACATCATGGTCACAGGATCACCGCAGGATAAGGCCAAGTTACGTCAATACTCAGAGGGTGGCTTTGGTAATGGTGAACTCGATGTTAGTGAAGGTAATTTCGCGTGCTGTGGGGCGCGCCATTTCCCCGCGCACAACGGCCGCTGTAAACGGGGCCATATCGAGTGCATTCAGGCCTTGAAACCAATGGGGAGCGCTGAGCTGGTTGGCAGATGTAAAATTCAGAGCTCGCCTCTGAGAGCCTGGTCATGCTGTGCCGCTGTCTGCTTATGGCTTTGGCATTCGCACTCATCGCGCGAATCTATCTGCGCGTTTCAGCGCAGACGTGCGGCCGCGTGCGGAAGTTCAACGCACTTATGAGTTGGGCGCAGGCCGCGCCACTACGTACCCATTTTCTATTCTTGCGGTGCGCGCGCAAGCTCGAACTGCACAGCGGCGCGGCGTTCCGAAAAGAACAGAAGGAGGGCGCCGACGCGGGGCGAGCCCATCGAGGAGCCACCTTCCTGCGCATTGGCGCCGCAGACACGGGTGCTCGCTGGGCGTTCGTTGACGAGCAAACGTCTCATTTATTGAAATTCTGGAGCGCTCGCAGCAGTTGCGCGAGACACTTTTACAAGTGAGCTGGTGGCCGCGATCAGTTGAACAGATCGCGGCCTCGCTCTGACCACCGCGCTCCATGCGGTACTCAGAGGACCTCCTGGCCCTGGGGCTGCGCGTCGCCGGCGAGATGGTCAGCGGCCGTTCGCGCTGCAGATTGAGCTCTGCCTTGACTCGATGGGGGTGGTCACGGCCGTCGCGGCCACGAGAACTGCACCTCCGGCAGGACACTCATTGCTGCTGCATGTGCCTTGGCTTCGCGACCTCCTGATCTCGGGTCAACCGCGGGCCGTGAGCTGAGAAGACAACCGTGACGTGGTCGCAGATGGACTGACCACGGGCAGTGCAAGTAAGTCGGCACTTCACGACGTGGTTGTTGGCGCTCGTCAGGGGCCACATGCACCTCACGCAGCCCCCCTCGCGCCGGCTGGCAAGCTCGCCGTGCTATCAGGGCACGGGCGCCAGCCGACCTCCAACCTTTAACATCGATCATCATTCGTGTAGGAACTGCGTGTGCTCCATTCTTCGGAACCATCGGTCCTTCCTCATCCCCATCTGTTGGCAGGTCTGTCACATGGCGCATGGTGGTCGATGCGCGTTGTGGCGCGGCTGTTCGGGGGAGCATGCTGTCGGGAGCTCGTTGTTGCAGTGGTCAGCACCCGCTGTGACCGTAGTGTGGGTGATCACATGTACGGACACATCTGATATGTAAGTAGCAAGAGAGATCAGGGATGAGTACTTATGAGGCCGCTGCCTTTTTATCGGCAGCGGGCTTTTGCGCCGCCCGGCCGAAGCGCGCTGGGCCGCTGGCTGTGGCTCGCGCGCCGCTGGGCCCGCGCGCGGCTTCCCGACGCGCGTCGCTGCGCGCTGGCGGCCACCCGCCTGCGCCCACGCGCGTGTCACCGTGCCTCAGAGCAAGCCGACTGGGCCCTCGGGGCCGCCGCCGCCTCGCCGCTCGCGCTCCGCGCCCTCGTCTTCCTTGTCGCCCGCGGAGGAAGTGACGTCGCCAGAGGACGTGCAACTCGCGGCATCGACTATAGGTCGAGCCGTGCCGCGTGCTCGATCTCCGACGCCCCCTCCAGGCACATGCGCGAGAGTCGGTGACCCACCGGGACAGCTGGTGATGATCCGCCCTCCTGGCTTGCCTCCGATGATGCTTCCGCTGAGCGGGTCGCTAGTTCGTCGAATGCAGCGCCAGGTGCAGCAGTCCAAGTAAGCAAGGCGTGGTATCTCAACTTCGTCTGTTCCTGAAGGCCACGTTCGGGCTCAAGAGCCTCCCCATTCCCGTTCGCGCCCGCCATCTCCGCGCGTGCGCCGCGCGGCTGCCGCGTCTCCCTCTCGGTTGATGGCCGCCAAAAAGGCGCCCGCGCGTGCGCCGAGCCCGCCGATTGCCCCCCCGCCTCCAGAAGTGCCGGCCGCGGCGCTCTCGGGGGCCGCCCAGCCGTTCAGTCGCCGAGAATCGCGAGGATATTGTGCATGTTGCGCGCCACCGGCGTCGCGCGGACCGGGTGCTGGAACAGGTGCTCCGCCGCAGCTTATTCCGCGCTGACGTCATAGATCCCGAGCTTCGCGCAGGATTCGCTAGCGAATCGCGAGAGGCTCCCGGCTGGACAAACGATGCGACGCCCGCGTGTGCGAGCGCCCCGCCGAATCTTTGGAGTTCGTGGGGCTCTCAGCAGCGGGGCGAATGCAGGCGTTGCTGGGCGCTCGCAAGAGTGGGGTCGTGACCCCGATTCGGTCGGGATCCGTCGGCCGCGCTTGACGCAGCGTTGCTCGGCGCATCTTCGTGCAATTGCAGGCCGCCCGGCTAGGAACAGCTGGCGGCGCTGTCGCCGCGTGCGTCGCGCCCCTCGTGACCTCTGGGTGGGCGCGTGCCGCGCGCTCCACTTCGTCGTCGCCTCTCTCCAGAGGATCAGCCCTGGCCGCCTTCTCTGGGGGCTGAGAGCGACGAGGCCAGCGCGGCTCGCGGTTCGGGCTGGAGACCGACGCTATCCGCCCGTCGACTCCGCACCCATTCTGGGCGAGGACGGGAACCGTGGCGCCCGTGAGCGCCCGAGGGCGCGCTGCGGTGATAGTTGGCAGGGGCAAGGGCAGGGGCAAGGACAAGAGCGAGCCCGCTCCGGACGACGCCGTCGACCTTCCCGAGAAGAAGACGTAGACCCGCAGGGCTGGGGAGAAGGTCGAGCGCCAGCGCGCCAGCGCGGCCCTCCGCGCGGCTAGCGCTGACGAGCCGCGGCAGTCGCCTTCGCCCGGGAACAGTGCCGAGCCTGGCACGCCCATCGAGGAGGTCGCCCACTGTGGTCGTGATCGGAGCGGCTCCCGCGGATCGTGACTGCGGTGAAGCCTCGAGGCGATAGTGCCAACGTTGTGCGCGCATCCCATCGAGGTCCATCTCCATCCATCGCCTTTTCTCCCCCCTGCCAGGTCAAGGCGCGGCGCCTCCACCTCGCCACTCACGTGACCATGGGGCTATCCTTTCGTCTACGTCTCAGACTTCCAGACGCCATGTCTGCGGCCCGAGGTTGCCAACATCGCGCGCAATGCGGCGCGAGGAAACTCGCACCGTCATCACTCACGCGCGTGAGCTCCTCCAGTGCCACTCTTGAGAGCACGGGCGAGCTCGTAATTGCAGTGGGTGGACCCGCGCCCCGGCGCGCGCAGCGACGGTGTCTCCCTGCCGAGTCTAGAATGAGCAGCTTGTGGTTTGACAGTTCTGTTAATTTCTTCCTTTGGTCCGTCTTCTCCGCCGGAGCCGTTCGATCGCCCGCGCAATCCCGACTCGAATGGGAGGGGTCGCCGCTGTTTGGCCCGAGCGCTGACGAATATCTATATATCGTATGAGGTATAACAGCCCCGCAATATACATCTTATTGGCGCCGTGTTTTCTCTCGTGCAGCTTCCGCGCTGCTAACGCCTCCGCCTCCTCCTCCTCCTCCTCCTCCTCCTCCCCCTGCTCCTGTCCCCCCTGTCCCCCTGTCCATGCGAGGAAGAGCGGCATGACCATGGGCATCCGGAGCTCCGCGCGGAATTTTTTGATCGGCGCAGGGCCCCACCTCGCTGCGCCTGCGGTGCCGCCCCTGGCGCTTTCCGCGCGCCGGGGAGGGGGTCCAGCGCCGATCCAGAAGAGATCCGAGCAGAGCTCGGGAAATGTATGTTTATGTGGTCATTGGTTTCTCCTCGCGTGCTGTCTTGGCCGTTCACATATCCCCCTGGCCCGTTTTTGTTCAACGGTTTCTGGGGCCATGTCCTTGCGCGCTCACGCATTCTTGCTCATCGTTTTTTTGTAAGTTGCCGATGCGGTGCGGCTCTCTCTGTCTCTCTCTCTTTTTTCTTGTTTATCTTCACACCGTCCTCTGGGACAGTCTGGGGGTTCGCAGCATTGCGTGATGCATTCTGTAATCGCATGGTGCATGCACCAGCTGGTTGGCGAGACCAGCCAGGTCAGCCAACAACGTTTGTTTTCTTGGCAGTTCGAGCACTCCCGTACCCAATCGGGCATCGCCGATATGGAGAGATTTTGAGCCTCCGCCCACGCTGCGTAAATAGTGTGTGCGCAATCATTTCCGTAGCCTGCATCAACATACATTTTCGGAGTTCCGCGCAGATTTCTAGGATCGGCGCTGGCCCGCCTGGGGTGCCCATGAACCGGTCCAAAAACATTTTTTTTGCATTGATGCTTTCTCTAGTGCAATCGCTGCCGTGGCAGCCTTTCAGCTTTGACGATGTCCGTCGCTGTGGGGGTTTACAGTCAGCCCGCATAGCAAGGATGAACGATTTTCCAGCGTTACCCTTGCATCAGTCCCTTTCGGCCCATCTTTGGCCATTTTCGCTGGCTGGGACCCGCCCGCAAAGTGTCGGCATGGCCCTCCACGGCCCTTGCGTCCTTACCGTGCGACCTTATTAAAGGGTTGACTGTATGTTTCTCGTCTTCTCCCGCCCCAAGCTGCGCTGGTGTCGCTCTCGCTGGGCGCGAAGCTCAGCGGGCGCTCGGCGCTGACGTTCGACGCCGCCGCGGCCAAGAACCGCCCCGTGACCAAGGCCGCGCCGCCCGCGGGGACGGTGGGGAAACCGGGCGCAGAGGAAAAGGAGAAAACGGAGGAAAATGAGGAAGAGGAGGAGGAGGAGGAGGAGGAGGAGGAGGAGGAGGAGGATTCGGGAGGAGGAGGAGGAGGAGGAGTACTCGGGAGGAGGAGGAGGAGTATTCGGGGGGAGGAGGAGGAGGAGGAGGAGGAGGAGGAGGATGAGGAGGAGTTCGGGAGGAGGAGGGGGATGATGATGATGATGATGATGATGATGATGATGATGATGATGATGATGATGATGATGCTGATGCTGATGCTGATGATGATGATGATGATGATGGTGATGGTGATGATGATGATGATGATGATGATGGTGGTGGTGGTGTGGTGGTGCTGGTGGTGATGGTGATGATGATGCTGCTGCTGCCGTGATGATGATGATGCTGATGATGATGATGATGATGATGCTGATGCTGATGATGATGATGATGATGATTATGATGATGGAGATGGTGATGATGGTGATGATGATGATGATGATGATGAGGATGAGGATGAGGATGATGATGATGATGATGATGATGATGCTGATGATGATGGTGACGATGATGATGCTGCTGCTGCTGATGATGATGATGATGATGATGATGATGATGATGATGATGATGATGATGATGATGATGATGCTGATGATGCTGCTGATGAATGATGAGAGGAGGAGGAGGAGGAGGAGGAGGAGGAGGAGGAGGAGGAGGAGGAGGAGGATGAGGAGGAAGAAGAGGAGGAGGAGCAGGAGGGAGGAGGAAGAGGAGGAGGAGGAGGAGGAGGAGGAGGAGGAGGAGGAGGAGGAGAGGAGAGGAGGGAGGGAGGGAGGGAGGAGGGAGGGAGGAGGGAGGGAGGGAGGAGGGAGGGAGGGGGAGGGAGGGAGGGAGGGAGGGGGAGGGAGGGAGGAGGAGGGAGGAGGAGGAGGAGGAGGAGGAGGAGGAGGAGGAGGAGGAAGCGAGCTTTTGGTAACCTTGAGCCGCAATATGTTTACGTCGATGCGACTATAAAAAGCTCAGCAGCTTGATAGAGCTTGCGTCCAGCGTGGCGACTAAAAGAAGCCTTTGAAGATCTCTGAAGAGGCTCTGCATCCTCCCAATGATACAGCTGTACTGGGGTAGTAAACTCACTCTGATTCTGTGCTTCTACAATTGTATACGGAGCCGAGCGGCAAAGAGGGATGAGAGTCATGCCTTCAGGTTCACGAGGTCGTGCTCTGTGAAGTTCTCCTTCCTGACGACCTCCTTCATCGTGATCACATTCGGCGTACCGTTCTTCGTCTTGATCAGGCCCTGATATCGAATAGTGCCTGACAATAAGTAATCCATCATCTGTGGAAACACTCCCACCTTAGTCAATGCGTCCATTACCATCAACTCCGTAGGCCAATGATACATTCTGCGAACTCTTCCTGAATGTCTGTCCTCACGAAGTGAAGGAATCGATAACCTCTGCGTCTTGTCGACTGGTATTCCTTCCATGCCTGTTACCAATTGAAATAGATCATAGCAATCGATGACCAAGGCGATGGGGATCACCTCTTTTCCTGAGTCTTGAATCATCATGAGTCCGGTAAGAGCATCTTTGAAATTCTTTTCGATCCAAGGCCTCATCAATATCTCCGTGTATCTCAATGCTGTGTATTGTGCTGCTTGAGAGCCTCCAACTGCTGCCACTGTCTCTGCATGACTTGTGGAATATGATACTCGTTTTGACTTCCGTGACTGACCAACAAGAGGATGTGCGGAACCAAACAAATCTTTACAACTCTCTTTACCAATACTATCATGCTTGTCCTTCATCAATATTCATCTTCCATGAGAAACAAGCCTTGATCTTCATGTGCATAAGATGTCGTACGAGTAGCATGCGCTGCATCGTTGATGCTCACAAGTCTGAAGGGGCCCTGCATCTTCTTGAAGTACAATCCTGCTGATTTCCGGTTCTTCTTCGCCTTCTCGAGAACTCCTTTGAGTGCCTTTAAATCTCCTATCGTCGGGCATGTCTGCTTCGTCTGCAACTGAGTCGTACCTGCGCTGACATCCCAACGTGTTTGAAGAAGATGTAATAGTTGAGAACAGAGAGAACGAAATCGATGTTGCTCATCTGGATTACACCGCAGATTATCGTCCTTGGCTCTGTCCTTGTCGATGCTCGGCGACTCGATGGTGTCCAAGTAGGCGTCCTGGCTAAGGAAGATCGCGTCATTCAATGCCCGCGTATATTCTATTCCAAGATGAGTGAACGGCATCGTTTTCCGTGTAATCTTGCCGAACTTCTTCTCCAGAAGAGCATGCGCCCAATCGAGCCAGTCCTTCTTGCCCGTCGGGAACGAATCATCAACATGCACTGTGGTGGCGAACTGTAATTTGTCTGTCTGAGCATGGTGCCATACGAGACAGTTCTCGTCCAATAGAGTCCTCTTGCCGCTCATGTTGTCCTTGATGTGAAGAGTAAGTGCTGCCTGCCACAGGAGAGGTGCATCAATGAGTCCAGGCACTGGCTTCGCACATTGAAGAACATACAAGTGTATCTGATCATCTGGAATCGCTGCAAACTCTTTGGAAAGCTTCTTCAGGTGGCGCCAAACGTTAGCCGGTGGAGCAATGTATACTTCACGCTCTTGTCGTACATCAAGTCCTAATTCTTTCGATCGTTCTGCGAGTTCCTTGAAGCGAAGTCCTTGAAGGAAAGCTGAGGAGATATCCCAGCTCTCCAGCTCGAAGTCGGGCTCGCACTGACAGATGGATGCCATCATGCGCTGCGATGCACGCGCTGCCGTCGATGAATGTCTATCCGCTGCCCATTTCTGATTGCCCAGAAAACCACGACCACACAAGCGAGAGCGCATCACCCATTTTTCCTTCCACATCCAGCGTCTAACCCACGTGGCGTCGATGAAGTTCTCATTGTTGCACTTGGATTTCAGCTTGGGCTTGAAGCACTCGTGCTTTACGTAGCTCTCGATATCCTTGAGATCCGCCTGCTCGATCTGTGGCCATAAGTTGCCAAACTCTGATTCCTGTATAAGCATTTCTCCTTGGGAAGCGTATATCTCTACCATTTCGTGCTCAAGCAAATCCACATAGAAACATCTCGATGTTGAAGCTGTGTCGTTCGTCTTGATGACGCAGCACGATTTTGAACCCTGCCGCGGTTCTGCTGCTGCGTGATGATGAGTACTGTCAGTATCTGTGATGACTGCGTCCTTGTAATCGATCCACTTGCTGTCCATGAAAAGATAATAAAGTCCTTTTGTCGGTGTCACAATCGATCTCTCAGAAGACCATGTTAGAAAATGTGTATACAACTTCTTAGCATCTGCTAGTGGCATGAGTGACTGCTGTTCTTCCGCAGCTGGTTCTTGATCATCTTCAGACGGTTCGCCATCTAGCAACTCCTCGAGGTTCTGTGTCAGGTTGTGGTCCGTATCTGCCTTGTTCACCTTGCCATGGCTGCTGTCTTGAGCCGAGATTGCTTGATCAATCTCAGGAAGAGCAATGTGTTCTCCATCATCTGGTCGAGCCTGCTTCCTCTCATGTCCAAGATCAATGATGCTGTCATCCAGACGAGAGGTATCATATCTCGTCCGTTTGATAGTCGGGGGAGCCATTTGCTGATCTGGAACTGCGTCTGTACTGTCAGTAGGTGCTGTAAGGTGTCTTGGTGAATGCGATCGAGATCTGGCTGCTGAGGAAGTAGTAGGATTGCCTTCTTCCTGCGTTCTCAGAAGACTGCGTTCCAGCTCGTCCAATAACTGATGTGCCTCAACAATATTGCTCAACTCGCGATCGAGGCTCTCTCTCTCTCTCTCTCTCTCTCTCTCTCTCTCTCTCTCTCTCTCTCTCTCTCTCCCTCAAGTCTAGTTCTGCTTCTGTCATGTTCATCGCTTGAACTGCTTGTTGCAGCCTGAGATGGTTTAGCCGATGGTTCAGGAACAGGTCGTGCAGATTGATCTTTGTCATCATCATCTGCTAGTGGTACTGCTGTCGGTCTCGTTCTGCGCGGTGGCTTCTGAATCTCCTTGATGACCCTCTTGAGGTTGTCGTACATCTCGTCGATCAGCGGTTTTCCAACATTCTGAAGATGACTCTGGTGACATAGATGATGTCTCCTGTTGCACGAGCTGTCTATCCGGTGACCAAGGAAGTTGAAGTACTTGAGGTACTTGAGGAGGTGGCTGCACTGGCGAACATTTCGGAGATATCGGTGATCTCTCGAAAGTCTGTCTGTCACGTATGGGCGTCTGCGGAGTCGAAGGTTGAAATTGTTCCGATGAGATATTCGTCTCTTCCGTCGCAGCTGCCTTCGAGTTCACGTGACGTGAGTGATCCATATATTCTTCTTCTTCGATCGGTGCCAGTGGTCGAAAGATACTCGGTACTTCATATGGATCTTCGTCAATGAACGGAATGTCGCTGAGGTCTGGTAACTCATATTTCTCCGGCGGCGTGTCTAGGTGCATGTTCTTGGAGAGGAAGATCATGAAGTGATATTTGTCCCATTCTGCGCCCACAAGTTGCAAGAAGTTGATTGGCATAGTCGGATCCATTTCCTGACTATAATAATGTTCGCGTAGATTCGACTTCCAAGAAACAACCGCTGCTTGAGAAAATTCTGCCAGACCTTTAAGATACCGGATACCTCCTCCAAAGATGAAGCCATCCATGCTTGATAATCGGAATGCCGTAGTACTGATTTCCATTGCTAAGAGCCATATCGGTGGAGGATCCTGCAGAAGTTCAGGAGGTGTCACTTGCTCGTGGAATGTGCCCATGCGATACTGAGTGCCCGGTGGTGTGCCTTCCACGTACTCAAATAATTTATGCAGCTTCTGTGAAATACCATCTTGCAAGTAGACCTCACTCGAGCACCGCGATACTCCCGGGGCATAATAACTGAGACGTCGTGCGCGTAGATGTCTGACTGGGATCATATAAGGCTGGTTCTGATGAATCACGATGGCCGTCGCCT